ACATCATCTGTTGATCATTTTCATTAACAAAATCTTGTTGACAAATTTTACGACACCATACCTCCAAATCCAAGCTGGTTGAATCAGAATCAGGAGTCTCAATAACTATGACTATTAATAATAATGTACTTGGTTATAATTTATAATTGCCTGAAACTGTTCTCACAATTTTCTTGTAACATATACCTGATATCAACAATATGGCACAATGTCAACTCACTTTCCTGTCCAGTGACATTTGTACAGGGTGTATCACATATATGAAGCAATATGTATTCATGCAAGTGTCCTTTTGTATCAAGTGAATTTAAACAAATTAATAAAATTCTTACTAATCCACATTGGAGGAACAGATGATATAGACTCCTGAAAACAAAGGGGGAGTAGTATAACATACTCTCTTGCAGATCTCATTTTGATGTAATGTCATCCCATTAATACCAATACTGTAGGGTGGCCTATACGGGTAATGCATGGCGAAGGCACGGCGGGTCTCTAACTTGCAGAGCACAACAAACATCTTCACTCCATGCTTGCATGTGGGGAACTGCCTGGGAATTGCTGCTTGCAACCCGAGGGTTAATTTATTTGCATATATCTACATGGATTTACATGCATGCACATTGTATAACAACAGTAACTAATACATATGTAAATAACAGAGCTGGTAAATAAAAGGAGGTACGTGAATAATCATAGATGTCCGTGCGTATCAATGAGCTGCTATGAATATTCAATCAAGCTTAACCAATCATACTGTAAAGAACAATAAACCAAAGAATGAACATGAAAGGATAAACGTGAAAGGAGTAATAAAAGAGACTAAAGATGGGAGAGTGAACATAGCACGAGAGCATGTAGAGGGAATGGTGACGGTAATTGAATGTGATGGAATGAGCAAAATAGAGTTTGATGATAGAAGAATGCAAATAGACATATGGCAAGATAGGATGCTTTCATACTTTACAATGTCCTGTTCAAAATATACAGCTCTACAATACCTTAAGTACCTATTTTCAAATACATCATGCCATGCATATTGAAATGTTATTTTGTTTATTATAAAATGCTGATTCATTTGAACTATAGCAGAAATCGAGACGAAATAATCAGACTTAGTGAATGATAAAGGTACTGAAATGCAGATTCATATGATATAAGCTGTGTTTTTGAAAAGGTGTTTTTTCACACTTTGGTGTGAACTGATTAAACTTGTCTTTGGCACAGATCCAGATGCTGATTATGGATGATGTTTCCATGATGACTCCACGAAGACTACACTCCATTCTCTCGCTACCACGCCTCCAGTCACTCACCTTGAAGGATATCAAACGATTTGACACAGATGATGGAGAGACACTGGTGTGTATCTTTACTATTCCAAGATTGAAGTCAAAATCCTCTTTTTGTTGCAAGCTAAAAAGGAACGGGATCAGAAAATACAGACAGACTAAATATGAATGATAAAGGAATTGCTGTTTTGAAATCAAGTTAAAACGACATACTACGGGCTTTTAAAAAGATTGAAGGATGGTTTTTATATATATATCAAAAATATGTATGCACAGTTATAGCTTTATCAACTTGGGATGAAGTTTAACCATGCACATTTTTTTCAAAGCTTGTTAAATATCGATTGATAAATGATTGCCATGATTTGCTATTTCCCATAAAGAATTCTGTTGCTTATTTTCTTCATCAATTTGTAACTTTCAGTAATGTGAAGTCATTTGATTTTTAGTTTTTTTTGTTAGTCTAGCTTAATTAATATCACAATATAAAAGGGGATTATCACAAAAAGACAAATATCACAATAAAGAAAGATGATAATGAATACTAAAATCCTGTCATCTTCCACTGAAAAGGGAGGATTAACCCTCATTAATAACTTGGCTTTGGTCATGTTGGTGGAAACAGAAAAAATAAAGAAACTTATTAAAGAAGGTTTCAGAAAAAATGGACAAGAATAAAAACATAAAGAAATGTTGAATGTCGATAATGCTAAAGATATACCACATAATTATCTTATCTTATATTAATCCTATATTTATTTTGTATCCAAAATACTGAAAATATCATTTTCAAAGTCATTTGACAGTGTAGTTATCCGGAACGGCATCGCATGTGACTGTAATGACAATCAAAGATTCTCTATTTCATTTATAATCTCGGCATCCCAAAGTTCAAAACTATTGTAATCTGTGTCCATTTTCCACAAACCTACCTGGTTGTTTATTTCTACTTAGGCAACTTATGATGTTATTGTATATTTGTGGAATATTTACCAAGCATGATATGAACAGTAAAAGTACTATATAAACAATGAGTCAGGTTATGTAATATCATTTCTTACATTAGCGTTGATTTTCATACATAATATAGTGAGCCTTTTCATATTGCTTTTTTGGGTAGACTGGTCAAACATGCTCAGTAGATGCGCTTTCTGTGGATGGTAAGCATGTGACCAGCCTGTGGAATTTTGGACTTCATACATCATGTCCCAGAGTGGAAACACTCCAACTGGACTGGTTAACCGAGGAGAATGTCTCATCAGACATCGTCACAATGGCCTGCTCTCCATTCCACCGTCTAACTCACCTTCAGATCCAGGCACAGATGCCTCCCAAAGTGACACTGAATGATCCCGTGTCATTTTGCGATGCTGTTAAAACATCATGTCCTCGACTCACCAAGCTATCCTTTGCCTTCATTGCACTGAACAACAAGAAGGCAGCTGAGATCATCCAACTCATGAAGACTCATCCACACCTGACAAGCATAGGGTGAGTCTCATTTGATTTACCAGGGTAATGATTGCCACATTATAATAACAAATCTTACCTGTATTATTATTGTTACTATTGTGGAACGCATTTTGGTTTACCTTTTTATTGTGAGTTTCTTCTCTTCATTTGCTACCTTTCTCTCTCTCTCTCTCGCTCTCTCTCTCTCTCTCTTGCCCCCTCCCTCTCTCTATGTCCCTCCCTTTTAATTATTTTTCTTTCTCTTTTTTTAAGTTCTCTTTTTATTCCTTTCTCCCACTCTCTTTCCAGCATTTCCTCTCTTCCACTCTCTTTGTCATCGCCTCTTTCGCTATCATACGACGACTCTCTGTAAAAGATGGTTTGAAGTTTTTTACTGCACGATACAAACCTGTATAAATAAAATTACGGCATAGAATTATGCTGTATGCTTACATGGTATTGATACAAATGGGATACCTGATTACGTTTGATCTCATAAGAGGAAAACTAGCATTGATTTAACACAGTGGGTTCCTAATATCAAAAGGAAATCGATTTTGGCAAAAATACTCTGCCCAACAAGCAATCTATCGTCATTGTCACTGAATTGGATTTTATGCGAGGTCAGGGGTAGCTGCATTAAGGCTTGGAATGAATCTCGGATGGTTAAAAGGCTGCATACATGAGTGGGTTGTCTAAAAGATTAGATGATTGGGTGCTGTATAGGGGATTTTACCATAGTTTACATAATCTGATGATCTCTTCATTTCAGGATTTATTCATATCAATATAATTTTCTTATTATAAATGTTATTCAATACTTTATCTTATTCATCATGATTTATCCTACATACCTGTACACAATGTTAATACCATGGTTATTTGCAGTCATGCAATATAAATACAGAGCAATATCATGCAAGGTTGGATGTGTAATTGTCATCTATTCTCACACCACATAGCATACATCTCTTATGGCTTTTAAGAGAGTATCGAAGGTCAGGTTTGTTCAAAAGATCATGTATGATCCCGAAATGTACTATTTTATTTCTATAGGTTGAAAACGTGTGCTACCGACATGGATCTAGATCCACTGATTTATGAGGTGAACAGTGAAGGCAAGCTGACTGTCACAGTGACTAAATTTTAGGTAAGATATAACACTAGTGTACATGGCCATCCTCTGATTGATTTTTCCTCCCTCTTTCTTGCATTCCATCGTTTCGAAGTAGGCTAGTTTTTTGTTATTATCCATATTCAACTCCGCCCAATCGTTACACAAGAATGTACAGTACATATATTTCGAGCTTTCTTTCATGTGTTTATTCTGGCCTGATGTAACAAACTTAGAGGGAAGAACTTTACACAACTATATGAACATTTATAGTGAAAAGGTACTTTTACTTCATGGACACAATGTATAAAGTAAAATGCTCATTGTACTTCGTCCTCTTTTTATAAAACGATATGACCTGAATATGTGATGAAAAGATGGAAAATGTCTGTATCTTTTCAAAAGGTCTAATTGTTAAAAAAATCAAATGACCATGCAGCAAGCATATTAGCAAACATAAACTCCACCAAGCACCGTGGCAAAAATTAGATAGATTAAATATGCTTCTCACATTATTGCAATATCCATGAGTTTGAATATACAAGTTTAATTGGAAAGAACTTTTGTGAGTCACACTGATCTATTTTTTCTTTGAATTTGTTTAAAGATTAATAGTGTTGTTGGTGGCCTGCGTTTTTTTCTAATCAAACTTCCTCTATATTCTCCCTTCTGGAATTTAAGATAACAACAAATAACATTTCATGAAGGAATGATGCCATTAAGATGGATGATAGTACAGAGTACAGAGTCTAGTCCTATCAGTGTGTTCTCTTCATCTGCCTGCTACCTTGGTCATGACAGTCAGATCAAATCTTCCCTGCCTGAAATGTAATGCTTGTAGTATCTTTCAGGGCAAAATACCTCACTAATATTTACAAATCCTTTGGAATTATTAGGGCCTATGGAGTCAATTCAAATCTAATTTTGGTTTTACTAAATGATATCCTAGTATTTGATCATGATCAATTTCTCTCCAATTTGAATATACATGTGTGATTGAATTAATTACCATTAGTTCCTGACTAAAGGTAAAGTGAAATCAAACAAACGTCCCTATAAAAATGATTGTAAATGATCGGAAGCTTAATTTTTGACTATTTGCAAATCATCCATTGTTTCTTTGAATGGTATGTTTTATTTATTTTCTCATTTACACATAGTTTTTGTATGTAAAAATGATTTCTTGTATTCTTAGGTACTGTCATTACCATATATGATGGGAAGATTACGCTCAAGTAATATGTGATTCAACGTCAAGAAACAATGTATCAACATTGTTAACACATTAGAAGGTGACCCTCATCAGACCACGTGATGGCAGCAGACTACTACAGCCTTCAAGATGTAACCAGGCTACCCGAATAACTAATTATACTAATTGAAGGATCATTAGAGTTAAAATGTATGGAAAACAGTATCTTAAGCAATTAATGAATGATTATACCCTGTCTTGATACTTTTAGTGAATAACTTTATAATTATGTTGAAGCATATCGAGCTCCAAGATAGGCAAATTAGGTTGGACGCCTTGTGTCACACATTTGGGGTCTAAAATTACCTTCATAGCAATTTTAGGTTCTAAAAGGGGACTATAAATTTCATAGATAAGAATAAGAGCAGTAACCATGCACTTTGAAGGCATTTGCGGTTTGAAAACAGAACTCAACTATCCCTTTAAAACATCAGAATTTGAGACAAAGTTACCCAATCCCTTCAAAACAATCTATGCAATACAACCTAGAGCAGACAATATACAGCCTACAACCAACAACCAACAAGCTATGTTTTAACTTGGGCTCCTTCATTTCCTCATTCCAATTTTACTGAAGTCTTTTACAAGTAGTTACAAAAAAAATAAAAATGATTTGATATATATTTTAAAACTAACGTGTCAGTATTCATAATACGTCTGTACTGTTCCTGTCATTACATTTCTTGTAAATAAACCTGAAAATGTGTAATCTGAAATGCGAAATATGAAATGTACTGGACTAAACTGAGGTAAATCAGAACAAATCCAAACTCTCTGTTGATTGTTTAATAACAACTCCAACCGGTATGTGTTTTCTCATATTAGCTATACTAATGTTGATGGTAATATATTGCATTGCACAATCATAACAAGGTCATCAAGAATCTAATCCGTAAGGATCTGTTGATATATCCTTCATCACGATGATACATGTAATCTGTAAGAATTCAAATGAGCTTTCCGGTGTACCAGGATTTATTTCATGAACTACTTTGTCCTGTTTAACCGAATGTTCATCCATTATCAAGAAAGATTGTTGAAAATACCATGTGTAGAATGTATATACCGGTTCTTGCTCTAGACAAGCTTTTGTCTTATTTCTGTAGTATCCAATAATTTCTTGCTTTTGAGATTGAAAATATTATCTAACTTTAAACGTAATAATCACATAGAGGACATATTCATTTTTGTAATAATGTTCATGGATTTGCACGATAGCTGTAACCCATTATTGATATCCGGAATGTGTTGACTATGTAAATATATTTATATACATGTATTATGTTCTCAGCTAAGGAGTCACATTGCATTCATTCACGTCTTTCTACAAATGTTTTTTGATATCTGAATTTATTTTGTAAATATATATGAGAGTGTGTATTTTTGTATGTGAATAAATGTAAACAAAAATTACATGACTGTGACGAGTTCAACAGTAGGACTACTGGTAGTCAAATATTTAATTTGTTTCAAGAACAAACAATGCTTGTAACTATCTCATCAGTAACTGTAGAGACAATTCCATGCATGTATCTAAGCAGTTAATCTTACAGAATATATTAAATGCATGTCATTGGATTAAATTATTGTTTCATCATGTGATAAGCAACTTATTTGGTTATCTTTGTTATGTCATACACCTAATACATCCATGGTGATTATATGGATTTTATGTTTGTTGAGTTGAGATGTTTTGTTCAATTTTGTAAAATATTTGTGTGTGTGTGCAGCTACATGTGTAGCTGTTCTAATACCTAATCGATAGTCAGCTCCAAGAGGACAACATTTACATTTGCGTTATTTGTCCGGCCGGACAATGGCTCATCCAATTACATTGTTGTTATTCATCAAATTCTCATTGTTATATTGTGAGATTAATCAGCATGAATAGAGTTTCATCTAGACTGACCATAATAAGTTTCATTGTTGAGATATCAATAAATTAGTGAACCTACCATGATTCAAGATATATATTAGTAACAAGAAATATCTATTTAAAGACAACACTCGAAGGGAGATTTCCCAAAAGTGCAGACATTTCAAGACATAACATATTACTAGTCGTTTTTTTCCCTCATAAGCCTAGAAAATTTTAAATTGAAGAAAATGTAATCCCTTCGACTTTTATCCATACTGACTGTATCAGAGTTTTGTATTGTGTTAATTGTATGTGTGAACATAATCTTGAATATACATTATAGGAATACACAATGGTAATAAAATGTCTTGGTTCATGTGTTTACAAGAGCAAGTTCGATCTATAACTGATTGAACTCATGGGATTGAAAGTTATCTTGTTGTTTAGAGATAGCAGAAGGCGATATATCGCAAGAAATTGAATAAAATAATTATGATAGCCATTTACATTTTGATTTATCGCCTCATAGCTTTATTCACGTAAACTGGAATACGTTGGATAAGAGGTGGGCAACATGAAGAAAGAAAGAAAGAGGACAAATTAGCGCTTTTCACAGAAAACGAGAAAATTGGATTGGAGAGTGTAAGAAAGAGAGATTTAAAGACGTGGTGTAATTAGACGGGAAAAAGGAGGAAAAACCAAAAGAGGGGGAGGATAAAGAGAGAGAGAGAAAATATAGGAATTTAATACAAACGCGCATACGAAAGCAGGAAAACATGATTCTCACAAATACATGTATATGTAAAACGGTATCAATGCTCACTCCACATTTCGCAGAGGAACCACTCAGAAGTGAATGATGCAGATTGACACATCAATATGAACCTGTCAACTATATACACGAGTCCTGAAGAAGATCATAAGGTATAGATAGAAAGCTTGATAAATACAGGGAGACACAAAACAAAAGCCATATACAATCGTGTCATACTTATTTCAAAATTCGTTCTACATGTATTTGCCTTCCACATAATTACACAATTATGAATGCAATATTGTTTTTATCCCTCAAATATTGCAAACGTCCATTTAATACTCTTTTTCTAAAATATTTCTTTTGCGTTTTTAATCTTGATATGATTTTATTTTTGTTATGCTCAGATGTGAATTCGATATGTTGAAATCTTGATAATCAATTAAAAAATATTTTGATGAATATCTTTTGATTTAGAATGAAGAACATACCCTGTATCTTCATGCCCTATGCGAGCTTGATAATCAGATCTTTCCTATACGAGCAGAATCAACTATTTGGGTTCATTTATCACCTATGTGACAAAGGTGAGATTAACTTTTAGCAAGTCATGTTCCCCCGGTACAGAGTACTTTGGCAATTGGCATGCAAACCATCCAAGTTCCCCACCGCTTTACATTTCATTTCATGACCGGGGGAAGAAATGCAAGATTTTCTACAATATTTACTAGAAAATTTTGAAGGAGATTATGGGAGGGAGCGTAGCGACCGAACGAGAAGATATTTGCATTTTGTTAATAGTCCAAATGCTGCACTCTTAAAAGTGTGATGCAGTCTTTAGTCAGTATTTGCTATACATTTTTGTGGCACTTTTACACATTTTCTTGGGGGAATTGAGGACATGTTCCTCCACCCCGTCCCCCTGGGATCGCCGCCCCTGGTATACACAAACCTGTTTTTGGCGAATTTGGCGTAATTATTACGATTTTTTGATTTAAATTACGCCTTACGATTTTTGTCATAAAATTACGATTTTTTTTATTTTTATTATTATTTTTTTATTATATATATATATATATATATTTTTTTTTTTTGGGCCCATTCACCTGGCACTGTCCAGGCCGACGCTTAAGCGTGCCCGGGAGAGCACCGGTATGGTACCAAGAGTAAAAAAAGTTTCACAGCTCAATCACTGTCAACTCACCACTCAGAAAGTGGGACCAAATGTCCAGATTTCTGTTTGGACTCTGAGGAAAATTAGTCCGTCATCTTTGGTTTTAAAAACAGCATTGTTTACTATTATTTTTATTAAATCAGCGCCTTCAACTGCAACTCCAAGTAAAATCGCTTGAGTTTTCGGTGACGGACCTGGGATACTTCTACCGTAGTATGGTGGTGTCAACAACAACAAAATTGGGTATTCGAGTACCTCATTACACGCTTATGCACAACCCTTTATTTTTCTCCTCCAGGTTCTATTTCATCAGGGGAATTTTGAGCTTTTAGTCCTTGTTTTTAAAAATATTTTTTATGGGGGAGGGGGTTGCATAAGTGTTGAAAAATGAGTTTAAAGTGAAGGAAAAAGGCATTCCTACATGTTGAAAATACCAAAAGCTCCCTACCGTGGGAGGGGGACAGCCCTCTCCAACACCCACCCCCGCTCGATCGCTTCGCTCCTTCGTTCTGTCGCTCCGCTCCGTCACAGTCCTCGTAAAAAATTATTACTATTTTTAGTCTTCAAAGGTTGGCAGGTATGTATATACCCTTTTTATTTCTAGCAACATGTTTTTGAAATCTCATTATACACACGTTTCACAAGCCCCCGCTATTGATCACAAGAATCTTTTATGCAAAACCCGCTTGCGTGAAAAGCATAACAAATGATTTCTAAAAGGGAAGATTTTATTCTTTATAATATGTCATCCCGTTCAGAAGCAAGATTACAATGCATTTGTTACCAAACCCCGCGGTGGTATAGCGCATCGTACATGTCTACGGTATAATTAACATGCTAAAAGTGTGCACCAAGTAATTTTCAAGTAATGAAATGTGCAGAAGATTACAATAAGGGGTAAGGTCGAAAGCGAAATGTTGCAAAGTTTCCTGCTCTTGTTCGACTGTGCGTTCAAATTGGCATATTGCCCGGGCCTTGTCAACCAGTGGCGGATCCAAGGAGGGGGTCCGGGGGGCCCGGGCCCCCTCCCCTGGGAAAAACAGGAAAAACAGGTTAATTTTACCTTTATTTGGCGACGGGCCCCCTCCCCTTGGCCTAAAGGGGGAGTGGGGTGCGAATTTTCAAATTTTCGAGGGCAAAAAAAATATATAGTACTTATGTCATTTGACAAGATATTAATATGCCACTCTCCACCCAGGTGTTGAAAGGGTACCGGTAGGAAGGAATTCCTTGAATGATGTGAGCACTAAAATCGTTAGCCTAGCAGAGCCGGGGTAATGTTTGAGTGCCTTGAGCACCTTGCATGGTGGATATGTGTGCTATAAAATATACAATATTGTAAATATTGTTATTATTATTGTTGTTATTTTAATTATTTAAATCACTTTTATTTAAAAGGAAGAAGGCCATTTAGAAGTGTACAAGATTAAGGGGCACTTATCGGAGCTGACGAGGGGCATTTTTCATACCTAAAAAGGGCACTCATCAGAACTAAAGAGAGGTATTTTGCATACCGTAAAAAGGGGGCACAGATCAGAGATGAATAAGAGCATTATATTACAACTGACAAGGGTCACTTGTAAAAGTAAAAGAGCTCCCTATATGAGTAGAATAGGGGCACATATCAGTAGTTAAAAGAAAAGGGCTTTTCTCAGAAGTAAATAGGGGCACTACAACGCAAAAAGAGGAATTGTGGGTAACTTGGGTGAGAGAGGGGGCCTGAACCCCCCCCCCCCCCGTAAGCGCCGCCTCTAACATTTCTTGAATAAATTAGAAAAAGTATATACTTAAGGGCCAATAGTTTTTACCAAATGTTTGTTTACCAAATGTTTGTGCAGTCTGTTATATCTGTTTGCAGTACATTTTAGTATTTGTGATTTTAAACATTGGCCTATATCTATAGCGACCTTGTTAAGATTTAATGGTCCCCAAAGGAACAAAGTTTCTCCAAGTATTTAATGTAGTTCTTTATTTACCTTTATCACTTTATTTCTTTCTGTCTTTAGTGCAACCAAAACTGGAGGTTGGATTTTCACTTATTTCATGACTTACATTATAATAGATATACATAATCTGTAATCTTGTTGAGGATGGTGGACCTGGATATCAGGTAAAGTGTAATAAACAGAAGCCAAAATAATATTTCCCTTTTCACTTTTGTTATACAGTACGTCTTTCGGACTTTGCTCATATTGCTTTAGCCAGGAATGGTCGTAACAAAGCAGCATGAACTGATAAATTCCCAAATTTAGAAATGCTTACACCGTTAAGTTTCCAAATAGTTTTCCATATTGGATTGTAATTTTACTCTTTAGAATCTTTGCGACAAACATGTTTTTGAGCTTCAAAGCACCCACGCTCCACAGGTTACAATCAATGATCATAACTTCTTTTATGTAAAACCTACCAGCGTGAATATCTTACAAACGATTTCAATCAAGGTACGTTTCTTTTCAGAACGTCGATCCTTTCAAATGTTTTTTTTTTACCCTTGTGAAAGCCCAGCCTTGTCGAATATCTTATTCACCAACTTATAATGACATGATCAAAAGTATGTGCCAATCCATATCATGGTATGACTGTTGAGGATCGGGCCTAGATTTGTGTGTTTTCCAGACAAAGTCACTCTTCTGTCTCCCCTCCCCCCCCCCCCTTTCTCTCTCTCTCTCTCTCTCTATCTCTATCTCTCTCTCTTGTGTTGTAAAATCCAGGGTCTATGAATAAACCCTTATCATTTAATATAAACTAGGAAGAAGACTAGATAAACACTACACACATAATCAGTTACATAACACAATTATTTTAATTTACAGAAGAAACTTCGTTAGGCTGCGAGCAAGGTAACTTAATTGTAGAATCATGATGATTTTGTCTTCTGAACATCACAAAGAGCCTCCTTCCTTCATTATGACATAATTATTTCATGGCTATAGTAATTATACAAAATATTAAAACAATCTCTCTCGCACGTCAACATAATTTTATGGTCAATCAGACCATATGTCGTTCATTGATCTACAATTAGCACAATAATAAATGGATTCACCCTCCCGCTACAAGTCAAGAAAGCATTTGCCAACAAGATGTCACTGGCATACTACAGTATAATAATGAGTCTTGCAGGAATTTTCATCTTGAAAAGAATGTCAAAATGACGTCAGGATTCGCTGATAGTTTGCTTGGTGTTTGGAAAAGCAAGGAATTTCAAAGTACACCCCCTCCCACACATTCTCCTATATGTTTTAGCGTAATTTTTTTACAATAAAGACAAATAATTCTTCAAAATACAATTCTTTTTCATCATGATAACATAATTCAATTAACTTATTACATGTTCCATTCGCAAGTTACAATAATTAAATTAAAAAAATGAAATCAGTTATAACATGTCATAAAACAATTTATAACACCTTGGATATTATTACCCAACCCCAAACAGAACAACAACCCAACACATGCACACTATACAACCACACATACATAAACACAACACACACGCACTACACATCAATGCGTTCCTCACACGGACACTCACAGCCACCGTGGCTGGAGATTTTTTTTTAAATGACAAAAAAGAGACAAAGTAAGACTAGACCTATATTATGCTTTGATATTTTCTGCTTCATTCGAATAAGCCAGTTCACGGATAGAATCTGCGCATGCGCGAGTACACCAACCATCGCTTCCGGGTCAGGTCAATGCGTTTCCTCAAACATTGTGGGCCAAATATCGTTGAGTGGTAGCTCCTAATTTCAGTATAAATGTCCTTATATAGATAACAATGAATATATAAATGTAACGAATCCATAAAACGAAAATCAAATGTTCAGATTCAAAACATAATCAAATACTGACTGGGAATCCAGAGCATGACCCCTAACAAACCAGAAAATATCATGTTAATATTTGCAAACCGAGGATTTGGAATTATCTAGATTGGCTATTATACTAGATTTAAATGACTGAATTATGTGAAAAGAGGTACCCCTCTCCCCCATTCCCATCGTTAGTTAACAACAGTTTCCTTTCTGTCTTAATTGGGACAGACTAATTAGGTTTCTACTATACTGAGCGGCCATGCCCAGGCCACTATATCATATTTGTATCACAACGTTCATCAGGTACGACTCACTGAGCAAGAGATATGTATTCCTTTGTTTGGTTGGTTATAGCTCTCGATGTGTATTTTCCTTTGGTTTCATTTTGGACCATATAACCTGACTGACTTGCAGGTACCTGCTCAATATCACCAGACTGTGAAATACGGACTCGTGACGCAGCCTATATGTCTTTTATTTGATACTGGTGATCCGTCACTTCTACATGAAAATCCGATGGAACGAAGCACATGTTTTGTACAAAGGGAATCTGCATAAGATTGCTGTCTAGATCATTTTATACCACACGTACACTGCATGACACAGTGAAACAATTAAGAGACCTTTTAATTGAAAACGCTTTTTGTTTCTTTTTAACATTAACACGTTCCAGAACGGATGTTGCCTGTTACTTTTATTGGACCTGGGCAAGATTATGTATGAATCCTTTTAGCTCGGCTACAATTGGATAAATAATTTTGAGGAGAGGACTCGACGCCTCATCTCAAGCTTCATTTCACATATAGCAGGATCTAAGCAAACCGTGAGTATAAAATATCTTTTACTCGTTGCCTCTCAACTTTGATGATCGTAGCAATGGTCATCTAATATAAGCCAATCGTAATAGAATGACATATAATCCATGCATTTCAGAAACCCTAAACACTAATATGTTTCTAGCATTGTGAGAATGATGACAAAGTGGACTATAACCACATTAGAATGGTTTTAGGTATTTCTATTTAAAGATAAAGTTGAGTTTAGGTCATCCGATTGCATTGTGAACTTGAAGAAACGGTGTGGAGTCGGATCATGTAGAATATAAGTATTAATTGGTGTGTACTGCAAGGTTCTGAAGTCATCAAAATGATAAGAAAATTGGCCCAGTCTTGGTAAAGTAACAGGCACTGTACAAGATGTATATGGGACTACACAAACACGTGGCATAAAAATGGGGCCTCATTTTTAAGCTGTTACTTGACATAATTATATAGAATATGAAGGCATTTGAAGAGCCATGCTCTTCAGGGGACATTTTTACTCTGATATTCTTCCACACTTGCATAAGAACAATAAGAACGCTGACAAATTATTGTTCACCTTTCCCCAGAACTCAACATTAAGTCTATAAACCTTGGCAATGATAAGTCATTTAGCTCTAGTCAGTGGCGTATCGTGTGTGTGTGTGTGGGGGGGGGGGGGGGGTCATTCACTCGGGAGGGGGAGGGGGAGTACCAGTCTTTAGTCTACTAGATTAGCCTTTTCCACTCTTTTTTAAAAGTCACGACACCCTTTTTGGGTTAAAAAGTTTCGCTTCACCTTAATCCAAATTTTTCATAGAGGATTTGTTTTCCAGCCCTCGTGTATACAGACGTACGGGCACGTTTTCGCCTAAGGACCTCTTTGCTGAAAATATACTATCCGGATCTCAAATATTGCGCTTTTATTATGGCAAAGATATTTATAAGTCATCAATATACACTACATGAAATTAACAGGTCTTTATCTTGAAGAATTGTTGTTGTTAATGATGATAATGAACAGGGGCGGCGATCCCGGGGGACGGGGGGGGACACGTCCCCCCTCGATTTTTGTAGGGGGGGGTCGTCCCCTCCCCCCCCCGGAAAATTTGAAAAAGTGCAATAAAAAAATGTACAGCAAATACTGACTAAAGACTGCAACACACTATTAGGATTTGGAGGGCCCAAGAGTGCAGCGTTTAGACAAATACAAATCCAAAAATCTTCTGGCTCGGGAGCTATGCTCCCTCGCATAATATCCTTTAAAATATTCAAGTAAATATTGTAGAAAAGTGAATTGTGAAAAAAAATATATTTGTTTTCATACTATAGTTTTCCTAAGGAATATAATTTTGTAATACAACAAAACTTCAAAACCTGTAAGGGGGGAGTTACTTTCGTCACCTTCACCCCTCTCATTCACTATGCTCACTCACTCAGGCTTGGGGTAGTTCCCCCCCCCCCCCGATAAAATTCAAACGTGGTTTATTTCAAACCAGTGACTAATTTACAAATGTTGCTGAAATGGCATGATTTTCTCTGAGCTTCCGGGGGCTCTGCCCCCTTAACCCCACCAAGGGCCCTAAGACGGGCCCCTGGTTGCTCAGCTGACCATTATTAAATTCCTAAAACATCTGAGCTTCCGGGGGCTCCGCCCCCTGGACCCCACCAGGACCCTAAGCGGGCCACTGGAAGCTCATCTGACCATATTCAAAAGCCTAAAATCCTGAGCTTCCGGGGGCTCCGCCCCCTGCACCCCACCAAGAGCCCTAAGTCGACGCCTGGTTGATGCCTAAAGTTAATACCTAAAGTTCAGTTAATGCCTTAAGCCGCTGAGCGTCTGGGGGCTTCGCCCCTGGACCCCACTCCGATTAGGGACCTGCATGCAAGTGTCACAAATAAGGTATCAAAATATGCTCATCTGACCCTTATTAAATGCCTAAAAACTCTGAGCTTCATGGGGCTCCGCCCCTGGACCCCACGCCAATTTACGCGCCACTTGCTTTGCTCTATTTGATCGCAAATACTTTAGCCCCCCCCCCCCTCTCACTTTGAAATGTAACATGTAAGAGCGGTGATGATTCAGATTTTTTTTCTCCCCCCCCCCCCAAAAAAAATAAAAGTTTTTGTTCATTACGTCACTCCTCCCTCGTTCCTCGCGTTTCGTCCCCCCCCCCCCGGTCATGAAAAGAAATCGCCGCCCCTGATAATGAATATGACGATTTGTGATCTCATGTCGTCAGAGAACTACTTGAATTTGGGCAACGTAGAGCAATTGGCATGATTTGCATACATTTTTAAGCCGATTGTTCCATGATGATGATTATTACCTGTATTCCCAGCTTCCGAGGGGAGTCGACTTGACTTGTAATGTTCATTTTGCAATTGAAGGTTATGCTGAGGTAATAAAGATAAAGTAAGGGTCGGAATAGTTATAGTGGAATATTAACATCGAAGAGTGTTGCTAGAAAAATATAGAAACAATCTATGTATTCGTTCATTCGTTAATTTATTCTGTGTAGTGTGTACCATATACAAGATAGTATCTTCAGTACATAGTAAATCTGCTTTACAAGAGAATCCTGTGTTACAAAATACAATTACAACAATAGCCAAATATTATTATACATAACGGAACAAAGTATTTAATATAAATCGGAGGTGACGAAATTAGGGCTAACCTATATAACATTAGTTAAAACGATAAAAAAAAGACATTGGAAAATCAACTTATGCAAATTCAATGTCCACGTCCATCAACTTTTGGAATGTGCAAACAAGCATGGCAATGACGTATATTGGAACGTGAATATGATTTCTATGAGATGAATACAATTGTCCATTGACATATGTGTGAGCAGGGAGTTTTAGTATTTGGGATATTGAGCATTGGCTTATCTATATACCGACCCAATTTTGATTTTATCGTCCCCAAACGAACACAGTTCTTATTCCCTACATAGTTTATGCATCATGATAATGGTTTATTACTTTACTAATTCCGTCAAAAAGCGTGTATATAGTTGCAACTTGTATGTAACAGTATAATGAACTTAGTTATTCATGTTGATTATGCACACTTTTTTGTGAAACAGAGATCATTAATAAACACCAAGCATGGTACATGCAGAGGTATTGGCCCGAATTCACAAAGGAGGTTTGTCGACAAACCGAGGTTTATGTGCGTCATACGACGCGTTTTACGCGTTTTTTACAAACCTGGTTTGTAAAGAACAAAAGGAGGTTTGGCGAAACAAAAGGAGGTTTGAGCTCAAACCTTGGTCTGAGCTCAAACCTTGCTTTGTGAATTCGGGCCATAGTGTCTGGCCTTCGTTTGTTAACACTCAGTGTTATTTAGGATACGCGTATGCTTGTTCCCTCCCTTTGAAAGCATCCCCTATCTCAGGACTGCCAACATTTCTGAACCCCCCCCCCCTCCCTCTTCGCGCTATCGAGACCGCTCTAAATCAATTTTTCTATGATATTCAAAACCTGTTATAACCCCCTTTTTTTACTTTCTCAGGAGTCCAAAGAGAGATAACCCCCTTTTTAAAGATTAAAGAAATCTCCAAGTGAAAAGTCAAATACACCCCCTGTTTTACAATTCTCGGGTCGGATTTCGTCGCGTGAAAAGTACCCCTCGCCCTGAGATTCGGGGAACGCGCATGCGGTCTCTCCGACCCTGGAGGGGGGGGGGGGGCGGGTGATTGGAACCCGGGATCGACCTCTCTTTCTCCAAACAAGACTCTTTACTCCTTTTTTTTAAATTGTTCCAGATCTTGTACATAATTTGCAACTTTTCTCAAAAATATCTAGCACACTTGACTCATGGTCTAAGCAGTAATATAAACTGATCACCATTAACATTTTTTTTTTGGTGAAGCAATGTGTGTTTCAGAATACCTCGTCCGTTTGTCACATAATTATGTGACCGGAGCAGTGAGAGTTAACAAAATCTCTGAAAGTTGAACTTTGTCAAGAATTTTTAGGACATAAATTATGCCCCAGGCAAACCTTGAACCGCCATACGTGTACCCCATGTTTGTGATAATATCTGATATATGTATCTCTATTTATGTGTTGACATTTCTCCTCAGCCTGGATACCATTCTCGATGGCAGAAAGTCAGAAAACCGGAGAGATGACTGAACCCCTGAGTGATGACACACCAAGTACAAGGTAAAAATATGTTTAGCATAAGTCTTCTGTAATACATGTATATTTGTTAACTATTGGCATAGTACGTTGTTGTACTATATACGAATCTATTTTTGATTGTGTATTCTTTTTTCAAAAAAAAAAAACTTTTCAGAGTGGTATGGTTTTTATCCATGTACATGTATTTATGCGATGAGATGGAGAGCTCATGGGCAGCCAACAGGAGAACAGGTCTTGAATTCATGTATGTTAAAGTTAAATAATAATGTAAAAACAAGCAATTTAAGTTCTAAGAAACATTTGGAGGCTATTAAAATTGAAAGAAGGATTTTAGTAAGATGAAAGATATTGCCATTAGTGACATGGTCGCCCACTACCCATTGTACAATATTGTTTGTATGCATAATGAGCATCTCCCAGTATTTCCCAGTGTTTTTCAGTATTTCTCGGGAAATTGACAACCCTGCATGCCAGTGGCGGATCTAGGGTGGGGACAGGGGTGCATGGGCCCCTTTCCCTGGAAGAAGAAAAAAGTTTTTGAAATTTAAAAAAATAGAAGACGGGCCGACACCCCTGGATTTTTTTTTTTTTTTTTTTCTAATGATGGTAGCCAAATTTTGACCCTTTTTTCTGCTCAGGGGGGGGGGGGGGGTGGGTGGGTGATGTTATTTTTTGGGAAAAAAAAAATAGAAGACGGGCCGGCACCCCTGGATTTTTTTTATTTTATATATTTTTTTTTAATGATGGTAGCCACATTTTGACCCTTTTTTCTGCTCAGGGGGGGGGGGGGGGTGGGGGGGGGGGTGATGTTATTAACCCCTGCCCCCCCGTTGAGGAAAAAAATAATAACAAGTGCTCATTATAATTTTACCAGCTCATATACCGGTGTATTATTGAATTGTTAACTCTGTTAAATAATGATTTCACATACCGGTGACATGAACTATTAAAGCAGGAAGGAATTTGAAAATTAATTAAGATATTTCGTTAGATTATAAATCTAATGGAATTCGTAATATCCAATGAATAGAAGGCTTGATTAGATGTGTATAAAATACTTTAATTCTGTATTTTCATATTCTAGCGGTCAAACATCGAGTCAAACACATGGATTCGATGACGTCATCATCAAAGTAGCAAACGCTATATCAGACGATGGCGATTTAATGAAACTTGGTATTGAGCTGGGAGTCCAGATTCCTGATATCAACCGGGCATTAGAAACGAATTGGGCTGGAGGTAGAAAGACAAGTAATGGTAACGTGATGATGCTTCAGAACTGGGCAGAGACGGTCAAATCATCCAAGCGACTTCCAACTCTAAGAGCTGCTCTAAAAAAAGCGGGCTCGCTAGAGGTGGAAGAGACATGTTTAACGTCAAGCAGCTGCAGTGGTAAGCTTCCCTTTATAATTTATAGTTGTATAGTACTTATAAACCAACTTGATTACTTATCATATGTGATACGGAGATGTGAAATGGTCTAGCTGCACATTCTCTTAATCAGCTCTCTGTCTTCGCCTACAAACTGGCTCAAGTATGGTTATCCCGGTTCGAAACTGAGTAAGGCCTTTTGGATGGTGAAATTAAAGGTCGGTCCCTAGACGTAAATAATATTTTTTGATTGATACATGAATGTAAACAAACAATAACACACACACAAACACCAGGACACACACACATATCATATGTCATGTCCTTATTTGAGTAAATTTTGTCTCTACAAACTGTATCCACACCCAAAAACAGCTTTAATTACAAAAAAGTTTGATGAGTGTTGCATGGGTATCCTCTGATCTGTCTAAAAGACAATCTTAAGCATGCACACAAAATTACGAGAAGACATGAACAAATTTGTTACACATAATGAACAGTAGAGCTAAAGTCCTTAATTCACGTGTCATTTAAGATCATGTTTATGCTGTAACTTTTTATACTATTTCATAAAATTATACAAAAAAAACTTCTCTCTTTCCCTGATATTCATGATCTTTATGTGATTACAGGTTTGATGTACCGTCAGAAAAATTGTGATTTTAAAAGCAGAGTCCCACGATCATTTACATACCGGTAGTCCGGTACGCATACAAATTTAAGCCAGTGGTATATCCAGCTAGAATTGATAAACCAAGGGAGAATCACACCCGACTAAAAAACAGCTTGGTTACCGAAGACAACCCGGCATACCCACTGCAAACTTAATTTCATTAATTTTAGGTGGAGGGGCCGGGTTCTTTGCCGGGTTTATCCTTGGCTGAACACTTATTTTCAGCAGAACCTGTTTAAACAAAAACAGCAATACATTATCTATTCCATCAGCGGTGATTTCAGACCAAGTCTGTATCTATTTTACTTACCAGTACTCATTATTTTGCAATAATGCTCTTTTCTTTTTCTTCAGGTGACGATGAGGCGATGCCAAGTGACATAATGAGGTTAAGAGAACAACTGAAACGTAGATATCGCAAGAAATTTGGTCGGATCAAAACATCGCCTGTGAACCCGGAGTCACGGACATGGCTTCAGCACATCTATGTCAGTCTCGTCCTGATGTTGGGATTGGAAGGGGAAAAGGAGGAGTCAATAGATTATGATGGGTTGTTTAAATTCATCAAAACTGACACACCGACAGGTTTTGTAACACGATTGGCTTTCATTGGAGAAGCTGGTGTAGGGAAATCAACGCTGTTTGCTAAGATAGCTCTTGATTGGGCTGAGGGTAAAATTCTTCAAGAAATCAATCTGCTTTTTCTTGAATCATTTCGAGAGATTAAAGAGAGCGGATTCTTTGGGGATACTGTCATGGGCCATTTCCCAGATGACTCAGAAATAAAAGGGGAACGGGTTGATGACTATATCAGAAAAGATCAGAGAAAAGTCCTTATTTTATTGGACGGACTGGACGAAGCACGAATCGACATCAAGAAGCCAAATCGCAATGACGCTATCGTATCGATCGTAAGAGGAGAACGATTCATTGATACCCCGGTTGTCATCACAACCCGTCCTTATGGAGCAGATCAGATCAAGAGCATCATGCCGATTAATGAGCACTACACGTTTGGTAAGGTTAAGGGCTTCACAAAGAAAAACATGTCAAAATATATCAAAAACTTTTTCAAAGATGATTCTCAGTCTGCTTCGACCCTCATTAACTTCATTGATACAAACCAAGTGGTTTCCGAGTACATGGCACCTTTCCCGATATTCTGCTGTATGCTATGTACCCTGTGGAAAACGCCTTCTGGGCAGGAAAACATTCAGATAATGGAAACATTCTCGCAACTATTGAAGCGTCTTGTCTTTTCACTTCAAGAGCAATACTCTTCCAAACCTAATGAATTAGAAGAGGGCTATGGAAGCCGCATGAAGAAAGCTAGTAAAAGCATGAGAGATATTGGTTGTATCGCATTCAAAGGTCTGTTGGTTAAACAGCTCATCTTCGATGAAAAGGCGCTCGACTCGTGTACAGAGGCTGCAATGATTGCATGCGAGGTCGGGATTCTTAGCATGGAAATAAGGCCAGCACCCTTGCAAATCAGAGAAAGTCAGCAAGAGCAATTCATCCAAGAATTCTCTTTCCCTCATAAGTTACTGCAGGAGTACATAGCGAGTTTCTACCTTGCATCACTGTTCCACGAAGATCATCAAGAATTCAACAGAATCCTGGCAGAAACTCTTTTAGAAGACTACAAGGAATTCAGATATGTCTTGTACTTCACTGCAGCTCATGGAGGTGAAGTAGGAAAGTCGGTCCTAGAAGCTCTATGCAAGAAAGTTGATGACATACAATACATCATTGAGGTTGCTTTTGAATGTCATGATTCAGAAGCCATTGATCCTGTCAGGAATCTTTTGAAGACAAAGACAGGTCTTATGTTAAATCATCCAATCGCCGCATATGTTTTCACACTGGAGTCAATAGGGAAAGAAGTAGTAAGTTCTGTGAATATAGAAATATAGACGTAGCTCATTTTTGTTTATCTAGTTGAGAAATGTCATCTGTTGAGCCTTCAGTGATATATGCAATCTTGCTATGATGGAAATACAAATACAAGAGACTTACACAATGTATTGTTTGTTTTCCTGTTCTACTGGCCGATCATCATTTAGAACCTGCAATGTTCTCCTGTTGCTATTGGGTATTAAAGCAGGCTGCAAGGTGTAATTTTAGTCTCGTACAAGAGCAAGAGTCATATCATCGTTTGCCTCTTGCTCATATAAGTGTAAAACTTGACTTTCTTTAAAAAGAAAGGAAGGAAAACAATAGTACATGTACATGGCACAGTTTTAAATTCAAACAAAGACTAAGCAATGAAACACACGCCCACACACGTCTACACGCGCATCCTTCACAAAAAATAGTAGGTCACCCATTAACCAAACGAACGAAATATCTCATGTAGGCCATGTTATATGCCTTCATAACCATTATCGTTCCTTCATCTACTTCTTGCATTCACATAATGATTATATTATTATATATAACTCAAATTTGATTCAATTGATATTTTTCAAACATTTCATTCATTCTTTTCTTGGTCTTGGTGTATTTATATCCTTGGTACTATTTACATACATCCATGCCATCTGTGTGTGGTGAAAATAATATACACCATGGGATAATTTTTATAACTATACTAGAAACGGACACATGCAAAACAACTTTTAAGAAGAATTATATTGGAAAATAAAATTTACAGATCTAATGCTAAAATTCTATTTTTTGTACAGGTAAGAAGAAGTCCTACGATTCGTGAAACATTGGGTGTTAGCGAGTCCTTTGAAGCTAACGCATCATTGTCACATGTAGCAGCAGCAGTAGGTCTCTTCACATTACAGAACTTACGATGCTTGACCACTGGATTCCAGCATCTGGATGATGAATTCTACACAGGAATGTCAGCTGCAGCTTCACAGTCCAAGGTATCAGGGGCCTGGTTAATTATATTACATTGATGAATCCTAACTCATTATTATCATTATTTCTTAATCGATGCATACTCCTATTTGTTGCTTGATAAAATAAAGAAAAATATTACATTAATGATTTGTTATTTACACTCTTAATTTCATTCTCTGCTTTTCACAAAGGTGGGAATTCTAAGCATTATGAAAGGCTTGTAAAAGGGTCTTGCTCTCCTCTTCCTTTCCTTTTTATTTATCACTAATATGTATCTTCTCTTGTAATATATCAAGCCCAATAGAAAAAGCTGGATTCAAATCGGTCTCTAAGTATGATCATGATTGAACATAATTATCCATTATTTACAGCTGTACTAGTGATATTATAATATTGATGATGTACGTTGAACAAGTTATATCATATCGAATTGATATAACTGTAACTTTCAAATTAACAAGGGAGAGAAGGTAAACAATATCGTATGCCAATGTACCCTACCCCGGCGACGTAATTAGGGTCAGAAAAGTGAATTTCATGTCGAAATAAATTAATCACCTTTGGCTTGTATTCTTTGTACCCCCCCCCCCGACACCAAGATTTCTGTTACTGTTTCTGACGCATTTTAGACTTTTCTTACAGCGTATCACGTAAAGTCTACGTTAAATTGCAAACAAGAAACAGTACTGTTGTGCAACTTTCTTCTACAATATTAACGAGAGATTAACTTGAAAAGGATTTTAAATTTGCTTCACTGACACTGTACCAGGTTTATTGAGGAGGTAAAACATTTTGTCTAATATCTACGTAGCTTAGTATCTAATCAATACAGAGACTCACATGAAAATAGCTTGATAAGATAAGAAAATGAGAAAGAATGTTTCTGCTGTGCATAATTTCCTCAGTAAACTGAAATGTCATTTAGTTTTCTTCCTTTAGGGAAATTTCATTTCTGAATATTTTACTTTAGAATTTTGTATGAAGTAATATGATTTTATATGCCTCCGTTACGAAGTGTACGGAGGCATTATGTTTTCGGGTTGTCCGTCCATCCGTACGTCCTGTTCTCGTGATCGCGTTATCTCAAGAACCAATTGATGGATTCCTGCCAAACTTAGGTCATTTTCTGTCCCTGGCGTTCCAATGGTTGATAATTATGTCTTATTTTGTATTGTGTACACTGATATGTAATGTTTTTCTTTGCCGAATAAATAATAATAATAATAGTATGTATATCTTCCAGAGCTAATGAATTGATTAGATTTGGGGTCACAAGGTCAAAGTTCTAAGGTCACAGTGCTCATGTAGGCAAAAATAGCTCGTGATCGCGTTATCTCCAGAACTGATTGATGGATTCCTGCCAAATTTAGATCATGTATGTATCTTGCTGAGCCAATGAACTGATTAGATATGAGGTCAAAGGTCAAAGGTCATGGTGCTCATTATATATGAAAGAATAGCTTGTGATCACATTATTTTTAGAACCGATGGACGGATTACCATTAAACTCAAGACATGTACTGGTATGTATCTTGCAAAGCCAATGAACTGATTAGATTTTAGGGTCATGAGGTCAAAGATAAAAGGGTCATACATGTATATGAAAAATGGGTTGTAATCAGGATATTCTGAGAACCTGTTGAAGGATTACAATCAAACTTGAATTTGAAAAATTGGTTCCGTCATGGTTTGTGAAATCTCTCTATGGCGGAGGCATCATTTTCGACTGCGCACAGTTGAAGTTCCATCTAGTTTGTGGTTATTTGAAGATTCAGTTTCTCTTTGAATCTGAAATTACATTTTATTTTATAATATGTGAGTACCGTTAGTGCATTATGTTTCATTTGCTCAAACAGACCCTGTTCCCTGTCTTTTGCCATTTTTCTGAATGTATGTATCACAAATGCACATAATGTATCTATCACATTCTCACCTCATCGTTCTTTATTAGCTCATACCACAACTCCCTCTCTCTCTCTCTCTCTCTCTTTTTCTCTCTCTTTCCCCCCATATTGCTTTATTTTTCCTCACTTCTCTAATTGTTCCTTGTGTCCGTGCTTTATGAAAAAAAATGCTAAGTAAGAATTATTGAATGTCACACATCAGTTTGCTCTATTTTTCATATGGCATATGACAATATAACAATTATGTAATGATTATCAATAAACTCCCCTCATCTTTTAGTTTGTCTCGCACCATGGACCTACTACAAACAAGAAAGATTAATCATGTGAATAGAATCATGAATGGACTTTATTGTGACAAAGTAATATTCATATAAATGTGTGTTTTTGCATTATATTTTTAGAAATTATTTAAGTTTTGTCGATAGCCGCAATCAATTAATTTTACATAGTGCATTGTAAATAGACGGATGTAACACTTTTATTCTGCTTGAACAGACACTATCTCTCTTTTTGAACTATATTTTAAAAAAAATTATTTGTCTTTTTTCATCACGTCTTTCTTTACTCTTTCCACACCCATTTCCCTCTGGGTTTTTTCTCTCTACCTCTCTTTGTCTCTTTCCCAGTCGCTCTTTCTCTCTTTAAATGATGTTACGTTAATGACAATGAAAAATATATAAATTACCCGGTAGATATCTCGGCTATACTATATAATATTATATACCTCACTTAAGAAATCCAGCCATCTGATTGGTCGAAATTGCATTCATAAACTTTAACTATTCCTGTAAAATTCCTGGTAAAATTCCAAACCAATGTAATAGTTTTAAAAAATAGTTCTAAAATCCCAGTAACCATGGTTACCCATAGGTTTACATGTTAAAAATGGTTTGAGCGATCAAGGATACCGTACGTGTGCGAAGAATTGGTCGGTATTTTCATACAAGACGACAATTCCAAACAAGACAAAAATGGCTAAAGAAACTCTCCCAAGATTTCAACTTATCAAATGCAAGACTCGCTGACAGCAAGAACAACAAAAAGGGTACGTGAAATTATCCATAAACATGTTCGTTTAGTTGCTAAAAAAGCATAGACGTAGACGAAAATAAATCTAGTAGTCAGGGTGTCTGATCGCGCACCCGATGTTGTGTGTTAAAATTCTTCCCATAGAGATTGCAGTCTTTTTTTTCAATTCGAGATTCAAACCTTTGTCTGTTGTGATCCTGAAGCTGATACTCAGTAAGTGAGGTGTCATATGAAAGCGCAGGTTCTTCTCCATATTACCCACAGGGCCGGCCCACCCCAAAATTGTAAAAATATCTTGCTTAGACCAGTGGCGGATCCAGGGGGGGGGGCCGGGCCCCCCCCCCCTCCCTTGAGAAAAAAAATCATGTAAAATCACGTGATTTTTACCTTTTTTGGCCCCCCCCCCCCCCCCACTGAGCGACTTTTCGACCGGCGCGATTTCCAAATTTTCGGGAGCAAAAAACAACAAAAAGTTGGGCCCCCTCCCCTAAGAAATCCTGGATCTGCGCCTGGCTTAGACTAGAATCTAGATCTAGTCTACTCTCAAAGATACACTCATAAAAAACAACCGTGCAGATAAACTAGAGAAAGGCCAAGGTGGTGTCATAAGTTGACTCGTTTTTTCGGCATATAAAAGTATTAATGACTGCTTTATTATTCGAGAAATAGTTGTTTTTATACGCTTTCGGGAAGGTTACAATTGGGCTATTGCCCTCGGCACGCCTCGGGCAATAGCACAATTCTAACCTTCCCTTGAGCGTATAAAAACAACTATTTCTCTCAAAGCAGTCATTAATACTATACTATTCGCTCTATTTAACATGTCCTGTTACATCGCCAGATTGAGGACCTAATGCACGTCAACGCAGATCTGAGATCTGCTGCATCTCATTTCGCGAGAGGTCTCTGCTCTATGCCTAATCTTCGATCACTGAAGCTGTACCATGGGAAGCTGAGTGATGAGTTCTACTCAACGTTGGCCTCTGAGGCATCAAAATCAAAGGTATACCAAACACGATTTCCATTGAAAACAATCTCTTTCCAAATAGTTTTGCATTCTTCTAACTCAACATTTGGGGTTAATTTTTTTTCACATTCAAAAGAATAAATCATTTTTTTCATCAGTGACGAGCACTCTCATATCAATATTATAAATAGTTTGGCTATATGCTGATAAGGAAAGAAATGATGTGAATAGAATGAACTTTTGTGTCAAAATGATATATCTTTATATAAAAGCGTGTTTTAAAAGCATGTATCCTACCAATAGTATTTCGCATTATATTTTTAGAAATTATTTAAATTTTGTCATTAGTCGCAGGAAATTATTTGTACATGTGCATTGTAAATAGACGGATATAACACTATTATTTTGTTTGAACAGACACAGCCTTTTTTTCAACCATCTATTATTGATGACATTTGTCTTTGTCTTTCTTCATTTTTTCTTTCTTTTTTCTTACCACACATTTCCCCTTGGGTTTCTTCTCTCTCTCTCTCTCTCTCCCTCTTCTATTTTTTTTGCATTACAAATCTAAGTAGAGCTTAATAATGTTACATTAATGACAATGAAAATTATTTAAAGTAGACATGTCGTTTATACTTGATATTATTATTCACTATATTCACTGTAGATTGGAAGATTATTCTGCGTGAGCAGACACTCTCTTTCTTTTGCAACTAATCACATTAGACTTTCATTTTGTCTTTCATTGCTCTGACCACACCTATTTCCCTTGGGCTTTTTAGCCCCTCTTTCTCTCTATCTCTATCTATCTCTATCTCTCTCCTTTTCTCTTTCCCTTGCTTTAAAAGGTTTATGATGTTACATTAATGACAATAAGAATATTTAAATCAGACATGTCATCTATACTTTATTCAACCTGTCCTGTCTCATCACCAGATTGAGGAGCTAGAGCATTTGGATTCAGTTGTGGGTTCTGCTGCATCCTCTCACTACGCGAGAGGTCTCTGCTCCATGCCTAATCTTCGATCACTGAAGCTGTACAGTTTGACGCTGAGTGATGAGTTCTACTCAACGTTGGCCTCTGAGGCATCACAATCAAAGGTATACCAAACACGATTTCCATTGAAAACAATCTCTTTCCAAATAGTTTTGCATTCTTCTAACTCAACATTTGGGGTTAATGTTTTTTCACATTCAAAAGAATAAAAAAAAAAACACATCAGTGACCAGCACTCTCATATCAATATCATGAATAGTTTGGCTATATGCTGATAAGGAAAGAAATGATGTGAATAGAATGAACTTTTGTGTCAAAATGATATATCTTCAAATACAAGCGTGTTTTAAAAGCATGTATTGTACAAATAGTATTTCGCATTATAATTTTAGAAATTATTTTAATTTTGTCAATAGTCGCCGGAAATCATTTTTACATGTGCATTGTAAATAGACGGATACAACATTATTATTGTGCTTGAATAAACATGGCCCCTCTTTTTCAGCCATCTATTATTGATGACATTTGTTTATCTTTCTTCATTTCGTCTTTCTTTTTTCTTACCACGTCCATTTCCTCTTGGATTTCTTCTCTCTCTCTCTCCCTCTTCTATTTCTTTTGCATTACAAAGCAGAGCTTAATAATGTTACATTAATGACAATGACAATTATTTAAAGTAGACATGTCGTTTATACTTGATATTATTATTCACTGTAGATTGGAAGATTATTCTGCTTGAGCAGACACTCTTTTCCAACTAGTCATAATTAATCACATTAGACTTTCATTTTGTCTTTCATTGCTCTTACCACACCCATTTCCCTTGGGCTTTTTAGCCCCTCTCTCTCTATCTATCTCTATCTCTCTCCTTTTCTCTTCCCCTTGCTTTAAAAGTCTAAGTAGAGGTTTATGATGTTACATTAATGACAAGAATATTTAAATCAGACATGTCATCTATACTTTGTTCAACCTGTCCTGTCTCATCACTAGATTGAGGAGCTAGAGCATTGTGAATCGGTTTTTGGTTCTGCTGCATCCTCTCACTACGCGAGAGGTCTCTGCTCCATGCCTAATCTTCGATCACTGATCCTGGACAGTTTGAAGCTGAGTGATGACTTCTGCTCAACAATGGCCTCTGAGGCATCAAAATCAAAGGTATACCAAACACGATTTTTATTGTAAACAATTTTTTTCCCCAAATAGCTGTGTATTTGTAACTCAACTTATGGGGTCACTGTTTTTTCATATTTTTTAAAAATAAATCTTTTATTATTTGCATCCGCTACAAAGTAGCCGGACGCATTATGCTTTTGGATTGTCTGTTCGCCTGTCCCTACATCCCGTTCTCGTTATCTCAAGAACCGATGGATTGAATCCCGATAAACTTAGGTCATTTCTGTATCTTGTGCTTGCAAAGCCAATAAACTGATTAGATTTTGGGGTCGAAGGTCACAGGGCTCATTATGTATGCAAAAATAGCTCGTGGTCGCGTTATCTCAACACTAATTGATGGATCCCACCAAACTTAAGTCATGTATGTATCTTGCGAAGCCAATGAACTGATTAGATGTTGGGGTCATAAGTTCAAAGCTCAAAGGCCATGGGGCTCATTATGTATGCAAAATTAGCTTGTGAACCTAATATCATTAGAACCGACGGATGGATTACTATCAAATTCAGGACATGTATGTATCTGGCAGAGCCAATAAACTGATCAGATTTTAGGGTCATGAGGTCAAAGATTAAAGGGTTAAACATGTATATGAAAATAACTCATAATCATGATATTCTGGAATCTGTTAATCAGGGGCGGATCTAGCTTTTTGCTAAGGGGGGGGGTTTGACCAAAATAATGACGATGCGGAGCATCGTCCACGAGCCGCGAAGCGGCGACCCGATTTTTTGGGGGGTGTTTATTTGAACCCCGTAAGTGATGTTTTCCTGGCATCTATTAACACAATGGAGACCATAAAAAGCAGTGCATGATAACGTCTTTTTAAATCAAGTAACAGTTTAATACATAGTTATATCCAGAGTTATCATGTGTTTGGTTAAGTTACCAGATGAGTTGAATATCTTCTCACAATATTTGCACTTGAAAGGGTTTCTCTCCAGCGTGCGTTCTTTTTTCTTTCTTTTTTTCTTTTTTTTTTCTTTTTTTTTCCTTTTTTTTTTTTTTTTTTTTTTTGGGCCGCCCAAGGGGGGGGGGGGGGGTTGCAACCCACCCAACCCCCCCCCTGGATCCGCCACTGGTTAATGTATTACAATCAAACTTGAATTTTAAAATTTGCTTCTGTTTTGGTTTGTAAAAGCGCTCTAAGGCGGAGACATCATTTTTGACTGCGCGCAGTTGAAGATCCATCTAGTTTTCATTAATTTTGAGCACTTTCATATCAATATTATAAATAGTTTGGATATGCTGATGAGGAAATAAATACCTGTGAATAGAATGACTATGGTGTCATAATGATATGGATTCATATAAAAGCGTGTTTTAAAAGCATGTATCCAACAAATAGTATTTAGCATTATATTTTTTAGAAATATTTAAGTTTTGTCAAAAGTCGCAGGAAATTAATTTTAAAAGTGCACTGTAAATTGACGGATATGACACTTGCTTTTATTCTGCTTGAAAAGACATTATTATCATTATTATCTATAGAAAGATGGCTTTTCTTTACTATTGGGTTATTTAGAAATGTTAGATTCTTATAGGCCTACTATGAATAACCAAACATAATACCTACATGTACATGTAGGTGCTTATATCTTTGATTTATTGATAAAAGTAATTAATCTATAAACAATTATTTATTAAAACTATCAATTGAAAAATTAATGTATTCCACAACTTATAGTTTGTAACATTAAATAAATAATTTCTATTACCATGACTATTAGGATATTAATGTACTTGGTTATAATGATTATAATTGCCTATGACTGTTCTCACAATTTTCTTGTAACATATACCTGATACACTCTTAAAAATGAAATGTTGGATCCACCCTTTTCAGTGCTGGATTCACCATTTTAAAAAGGGGCGAGGAGTGACAGCGTCTTAAATGCTGTTTTACCCTTTTTGAAAATGTTAAATATACAGCACTATAATAGTGCTGAAAAAAACGCTGGATTGTACCCTTTTCGGAATGGGGTAAATTACCCTGTTAAATGTGATTCTGACGTTATTAAAATTTTGAAAATGCAACCCTATTAAAGTGCTGGAGAAAGTGTTGAATGTGCTTAATTTATACCCTTTTCAATGGGGTAAAATGACATATTGAATGCGGTTTTGACCATATTAAAGTGTTGAAAGACCCTTTCAAAGGGCTGGAAATGGTGATGAGAACACACAGACACACATACGCGCACACACACGTACGTACGCACGCACACACACACACACACACAAACAAAACAAAATATATAGTTGTATAGCAATTGCTTTACAATGAGCAGATCAAAAGTTCTGAAATTATTTATTTTTCTTTCACAAATGTACAAATGAATATTGGTGCAAAATTTTAACTGCAAATATCAAAATTACATTGTAAGTTTTGTAACAGAATTACAATAATGTTGTCATATCAGGATACAGATAGATACATTTACAGCTGACATTTTAGAACAATCTCATTAAATAAGATGTAGTCTAATTAATATAGGTTTCCACAACACTTAGAAATTGACAAACATATTATCTAAGATGATAAACTTCAGTTTAAAATAGTGAAAACTTACACATTTTTCATATGTTTAGTAGATAAATCATAATTCTCATTAATTCATAAATTCATTGATGATTTGGCTATTTTTTGTACTGATGATTGATTTATTAATTAATGATTACAATTTGATAAATAATTGTAAATAAAAACTTCATTATCATGCAGCTAATTAACAAAAATGATAATGAACATATCTTGCACAAAATTAATTGCCCCCTATAACATGTCAGTCTATGCGCGGGCTCTGGGGATTAAAATAGCAAACCTTAAATTACTCAAGTAGTAGACGGTGAAATTCTGAAGTAGACAGTGAGACAAGATAGTTTGAGTCGAGGAATCCAATGAACACATTTTCATCACCGGCAAATGTACCCCTAGACCGGCACAATGCTTTATGAAAAAGTGCTCTCCCATTTGGGAGAGAATCTCTTGTTTGAAACCAAAGTTTGATATAGTTATATTAGCAATTGCTTTACAATGAGCATATTCAAAAGTTCTGAAATTATTTATTTTTCTTTCATAAATGAACAAATGAATTGTGGTGCAATATTTTAACTGCAAATATCAAATTTACATTGTAAGTTTTGTAACAGAATTACAATAATGTTGTCATATCAGGATGCAGATAGATAAATTTACAGCTGACATTTTAGAACAATCTCATTTATTAAGAGATGTAGTCTACTTTAGGTTTCCACAACATTTAGAAATTGACAAACATATTATCTAAGATGATAATCTTCAGATTAGACTAGTGAAAACTTACAAATGACTCAGAAACTGAATTTTTCATATGTTTAGTAGATAAATCATAATTCTCATTAATTCATAAATTCATTGATGATTTGGCTATTTTTTGTACTGATGATTGATTTATTAATTAATGATTACAATTTGATGAATAATTGTAAATAAAAACTTCATTATCATGCAGCTAATTAACAAAAATGATGATGAAAATATCCTTCACAAAATTAATTGCCCCCTTTAACATGTAAGTCTATGCACGGACTCTGGGGATTAACATAGCAAATCTTAAATTACTCAAGTAGTAGACGGTGACATTTTGAAGTAGACAGTGAGACAAGATAATTTGAGTCGAAGAATCCAATGAACACATTTTCATCACCGGCAAATGTAACCCTAGACCGACACAATGCTTTATGAAAAAGTGCTCTCCAATTTGGGAGAGAATCTCTTGTTTAGAACCAAATTTTGACCTCCAATTTAGGAGAGATTCTCCCAAGTTGAGCGTGCACCCCTACTGATAATCTACCATACAAATGACGCCAAATTCGTGAACAGAGAATTAGAAGTCTAAACCTGTCTAGGTCCAACTCATTGCAGAATTTCGGAGTCTTTGTGTGTGCCTGTGAAAAAAATAAACAAATGTTTCCCTTTGTGCATTACATGTACCATCATAGCTCACGTAATGCTCTTATAAAACATTCAATGTCCTAGGCTTTCCAGAAAGGGCTCAGAATTGTCTATCTGGTCAAAGATAAATGTTTTTTGAGGTTAATTCTCCTTTAATGACCACAAAGATTGTAACTTTTTTATATGAAGCTACCAAGGTTGGGTAAACTTTTTTTGGATATGCACTGTATACCTCGTCAATTGATTGGCAGCTATTTGTTGGAAAGAGCCTTGATGCTTGCCATTAGCTCTTTGGCACAAGCTGAGATAACAATTTTTGGCAAACCAACCTCGTATACAAAGAGGTCAAGAAATGCATAGAATGCCTTCAATTCGGTGGCGTATTCGATATTGAAGACAAAGTGCAGCTTGTACAGTACGTCCACAGCTGAGGTGATGTCTCCACAGCAGGGGATTGCCTCCTCGTCAATGATGACAAAGAACTGGGTTGGTAGACGATGACTTCCCGTTCCCAGCAGGTACGGTTGGCTCCTTTTGAGTTTTCCATCCTTGCGTTGCTCTCTGATGAAGGATTCCACGCTGGTGCCAGGCTGGATGAGAAATAAAAATGAACATCATTTTAGTATTGGCAGGCCTTCTCCAAGGTTCAAATATTTACAAATGTGCAAATAATATGCAGATTTCTTCTAAATTATTTTGTGACGATTTGTTGAAAATGTTTTTCTGTCAAAGCACAATCTAAATTCAAAGACAAGAAATACTGAATTGTATGTATTTTCGAGAGTATTTATTGTTGCTTTAATGGATGCAACAGGAAAGTCCATTTTAGCATCACAATAAAAGAAAATTATACATAATTGATTGTTATTGTTAATGTATGGAAATCTCATGAAGAACAGGTGGACTATAAACAATTTACAGAAATTTGAAGACAAAAAAGAAATGATAGAAGAGCTCATAAAAATGAAACCATTTCATGAATTCATCGCGCATGATAGAATGATTACTTAACATCCTTCACTCCTCATAGAAGATTGGAATAAGACTACATGCACATTGCAAACATACCGGTCTTTTCACCAGGAAGTACTGCACTGCATCAGCCAAGGATGTCCTTTTTGCTGCTTAGATGGAAGGAGGTACACAGCACCCAGGAAAGCATAGTGACATCTCCCCTTGAATATAACAATCAAGCAAAAATTATAAAGTTAAGATACAATCTGCAAAAGTTGCTCTAGGACAGACAATTAGTTTGAACAAATGACAAGGGTTGGCAAATTGCCAAAGCAATATTTAAGTAATATTGACTGCCTTCTGGGCAATACGACATATATCGCCCGAACAGAAGGTGAGGGTGATATATGACAAGTCGTATTGCCCTGAATTAGGCAGTCAATATTACTATTATTAACCACATCAGACATCTAGAGCAAACAAGAAACTCTTACTATCTTATACTCTTAAATTATGTAGGCTACACAGGGTTTCCTAGCATTAGAAGTTGCAAAAACATTGTCAAACCAGCACTGTGCATCCAGTGTTTGACAGATTTTCGATACACTGCAAACAGTGTGCCTAGGGAGTGATTGTTACGTCACAATAGAGTTCGCGCAAAGTGCGCATTTTCTTATACGCGATGCGCGATGTAAATTACAGTAGCTGATGCGCGATGTAAATTACAACTGGCTCTATATTGCTCATATCCTGCATCAAAAATGTGTTGGCTTTTGATTGGTTGAGAGCTCGTCACATGACCAGAAATATTTGACCTATTTTTAGAAAGTACTATATGAGAGTACTATTTTGGTTTACTATTTGGGAGTTGAAAAAATAATGTGAATTTTTTTTTTTAATTGAATCAATTTTTTTTTCAAATCTTAATTTAATGAAAATAAAATATTTTAAATCTTCTTACATAAAAATTGACATTTTTTTTGTTCTAATTTTTTTTTCCCAAAAAGTTTTTTTTTTTTTTTATTTTTTTTTTTTAATAAATTTTTGATGCAGGATATAAAACAAATATACCATGCCTTCTATTCGAGGTACTGGTTAAACTATGGGCCTCGGTGACTCCAAAAGTACCATTTGCTTCGGGGCTGCGCCCCTCAGCAAATAGTACTATTGGAGTCATGGGTGTCGATCCCGGGGGGGATGGGGGGGATATATCCCCCCCAATATTTCAGGTGGGGGGGATGGCCTGTACAATCATCCCCCCCAATAATTCACCATAAAATTATTTTTTTAAATGGAGAGAAAAATTAATGATGAGAGTCCGATGAGAGTAGTTAATTGTTATTACTCGCAAGATGACCATCAATATACACATTTTGCTATCTCATTTTCATAATACATACATTATATACGAAGTTAATAAGACAACCGTATATGAGACAAGAATAAATTGAATTCTCGCTCATACGGCTTCATCAGGAATTGATGAATTTATTCAATTTGTTCAATCAACAGCATATCATAGAAATGCAGTGCGCCAAATGCAAAGACGCAGCATCAAAAGCAACGAGCTAAATGTTAAGCGCGAAGCACAAAAGTAGCAATCTGCAATGCACATCAGACAATCCTGGACAGTGTAAACATAGATGAACTCTGTGACGATTTCGTGATGAGATCGGAGACAAAGAGAAAGATTTTCGGACATTAGTATGACTTATAAAATAGTTCACTAGTTGTTATGTTGTTTCCGTTCACCCTTTTTAAAATTCACGTCATTGTATCTTTATTTTTATTTTTTTCACTCATTTTATTTCCTGATATTTCCTAAAACATTTTTCATTTTTGGAGAAAGATTATTATGTCACAACTTATTTTCAGTTGGGAAACTGAATTCAGACAAGGATTAATATAGAGAACAGTACAATGAATCGTCTTCTTTCTCTAATAATTTAGCGAACAGGGCAAAGCTGTTAGGGGGGCAACTGAATTCAGACGTGGATTAAGAGTAATAATCAAATGAAACGTCAAAGTACACGATACAACTAATCGTCTTCTTTTACTAATAATTTAATAAAACGTGAAAGCTTCCGCGCTACGCGCGGAATGGGCGAAAGTGAATACAGACAAAGATAAAGAGTAATAATTTATTGAAACATTAAAGCTTCCGCGCTTCGCGCGGTAGGGGGGAAACTGAATTCATGAAGGACACGATACAACAAATCGTCTTCTTTCTCTAATAATGTAATAAAATGTGAAAGCTTCCGCGCTTCGCGCAGGATTGGGTAAAAATGAATTCAGACAAGGATTAAGAGTCGAGAATGGTACATAGAATCGTCTTCTTTCTTTAATAATCTAATGAAACGTCAGAGCTTCCGCGCTACGCGCGGGGGAAGGGGAACTTGATTCAAACAAGGATTAAGAGTCGAGAATGGTACATCGAATCGTCTTCTTTCTTTAATAATCTAATGAAACGTCAGAGCTTCCGCGCTACGCGCGGGGGAAGGGGAGCTTGATTCAAACAAGGAATAAGAGTCGAGAATGGTACATAGAATCGTCTTCTTTCTTTAATAATCTAATGAAACGTCAGAGCTACCGCGCTACGCGCGGAGGAAGGAGAATTTAATTCAAACAAGGATTAAGAGTCGAGAACGGTCCAACGAATCGTCTTCTTTCTCTAATAATTTAGTGAAACGTCAAAGCTTCCTCGCTTTGCGGGGGGGGGGGGGACTCCCCCTCCCTGCACCCAACCCCCTAGGAACCGCGCTTCGTGTGCTAACTACCGCCCCCCCCTTAAATTAAATCCTGGCTACGCGCTTGGGAGGGGTGCAACTTGCCACACGCTTCTACCACTTTGGTTGCTTTGATCCATTGCCGAAAATATTTTGGCACCTATCATCCCCCCCAACCACGGATACAAATCGACACCCTTGATTGGAGTCACCTCTTGCGCATAGTTTTAACCAGAACCTCTCAAGGCACTGTATATTTGTATACTAGTTTAACACGCATTTTGCCATTGACTATTCAGATCGGGCTAAAATATTTGTTAATTGGTTTACTGTATAACCGTATTGACCAGCAAATTACACACAAAATCCCATTGACTTTTCTGAGCGGTCAATCATATTGTAGTTTTGTTGGCTTATCCAAACCTTGAGGGCAATAACATTTTAAAATTGCCCTGCTCAGATGTCTGATACGGTTAATAATAATTGATTTTCAATGATGTAGGTGACATGAAAGAAAACTTGTCCGGTAATTATGGACCTGTGTTAGGTCCAGGCTAGGCGGTAATACAATACACTTCCATAGCTTTGAATGCAATAGCACAGACCCGCCGTATAGCTGAAGAAAACATCCAGAAATGTCCTGTTTTTTACTTCTATTTCCGAAATATATTACCAATTTCCGAATCAAAATTGTCTTTAATTATCAGTGAAATAGATTTTCAAAGGATGGAGTATGGCTTACCTGTTTCTGGAAGATGTAGAATGATTTTGGACTAATAAAATCAAGACATCGCACGTAAAGGTTGGCGATGAGCTCAGGAGACGCCGCGCGCCGGCCGTGACGCGTGGACGACGCTATGATGCTGACGTCACTGAAAGCTTGGACCAATCAAATTGTTCATGTGACCCAACACTTTTGAAATTGTTAACCCAGCAAGATTGCAATCCCAAGACGAAAATCCAATTGAAACCAATTGAACACCAATTGAAATTTCAATTGGTTTCAATTGGTTTCAATTGGTCTCAATAGGTTTTAACAGGTTTCAATGGGACCTCAGATGTTTTCAATTGGTCCAGATTGGCCCCATTGGACAAATTGGCCCCATTGGCCTAGGCCCCATTAGACTTTAATGGGTCCCCAATTGGTTTCAATTGGTCCGGATTGGCCCCATTGGACAAATTGCCCCCATTGGCCCCATTGGCCTAGTCCCCATTAGACTTTAATGGGTCCCCAATTGGTTTCAATTGGTCCGGATTGGCCCCATTGGCCCCATTGGACTTTAATGGGTCCCCAATTGGTTTCAATTGGACCAATTGGCCTTAATTTGGACTTCAATTGGTCCCATTGAAACCAACAAATCTAGGCATCTCATGAATATTCATTATCACTTTACACGTGTCACAGAAAAATAAATTTATCATGATTTGTTAAGCAAATTATGACAATGCACATCAATTTTGTGATTTCTTTATTCCTTCAGCAATTATTAACCAATAGATTATTTTGTCTGATCATGTTACAATTACATTCACGTTTTAGCAATAGATATATTGATTTATATATTGATTATATGATTACTAACCAAGAAACAATATACATATTTAGTATATATATTTGTACGAGCTAATGTCACTGTAAATGAAACTCTTGAATTCACTTCAAATGATCTTTGTGATGAAGTTAATGCAAATGAGATTGGAATATACCTAATTGGTGGACAGTTGCCAATATCGATTATGAAGTATCAATAATTTATCACTGGTTCTTCTAACTGGATCGATTTACCAATTGAATCCCCATTGAATGCCCCCATTGAATCCCAATTCAATACCAATTGGCAATTTGGAGTAAATGGAAAGTGAAACAATGGGTACCCATTGAAACCAATTGGCAATTGGTCCCCATTGGAACCAATTGGCAATTGGTCCCCATTGGTTTCAATGGGGACCTATTGCCAATTGGTTTCAATGGGTACCCATTGTTTCACTTTCCATTTACTCCAAATTGGATTCAATGGGGACATTCAATGGGGATTCAATTGGATTTTCGTCTTGGGATAAAGTCAAATCAACACTTTCACCATGCGCGACTCGTACGTAGCCATTTTCCTACCTTTTTAACGGGTAAAGTAGCGTTTTCCCTTTTCAGCACTTTTGAAAGAGCTCTATTCAACACTTCATTTTTAAGTGTGTATCAACAATATGGCACAATGTCAACTCGCTTTCCTGTCCAGTGACATTTGTACAGGGTGTATCACATATCTGAAGCAATATACAAATATACAATGACACTCGAGGATCTAGCTGAAACTATTCGCATCGAAGGAACATCAACTAGTACTATTCTCCCGAGGGCCATCGGCCCGAGGGAGAAAAGTACTAATGATGTTCCTGAGTGCGAATAGTTTTAGCTTGTTCCGAGAATGAGTCATTTTATATTTGTTTTATATCCCTTCCATCTGTATTATTCCTTGTACACTTCTGTAATAACATGAACCGGCAATATCGTGAAATAGGCCCCGCAACTTACCCGTCTTGTAATCGATTACAAATCATCTTAGACTTCTAACTTCAGTCTTCAGCCAATATTTTCATGACGGACAGCAATAAAAGGGATATAAAAGTGAGATAAAAAGGAGGTTGAAAGGGACTTTTTTTTAAAAATAAAAATTAGGAGGAGGGGGAGGCACGTAGCCACGGGGGGGGGGGGGGGGGGGGCCCAAAAAAAGGAAAAATATTTAACTAAAAGATAAATTTAAAGAGAGGGTGGGGGGGGCCCAAAAAAAAATACAATAATAAATAAACTGAAAATATTAAAAAAGGAAAAATATTTTAAAAAAGGTAAACAATTAAATAAGGAAAAATATTAAAAAAGTAAAAAAATTAAAATAGGGTCTAGACCCCTAGAAGATAAATTTAATCATTTAAATGTAACCCTTTTTAATAATTTGCTAGCTTTATTCATTAAACCTCAAAACACCCCCTTAATTATACTGCGGTGAAACAAGCCCCACTACCGTGCTGTCCGTCTTGAAAATGCATAGGATGGGGCCTTGTTCACGAGTATAAAGTATAGTCGTGATACAGGCCCCATGTCCGTGTTGTAGAACATGCAACGCCGTTGCGCGGGGCCTATATCACGAGTATATATAGCGAGTTGGATAGGAGACTCGCTATAGTATACTCGTGATACAGGCCCCGCGGCTGTGTTGAAGTGCGCGCGATGCCGTAGCGCGGGGCCTCGATAACGAGTATATAAGTATAGTCGTGATACAGGCCCCGCGGCTGTGTTGAAGTGCGCGCGATGCCGTTGCGCGGGGCCTTGATCACGAGTATATATAGTGAGTTGGCTGAAGTTAGAAGTCTAGTATAAAATTATAATCGATTCAAAACAGTTGCGGGGCTGAAGTTAGAAGTCTAGTATAAAATTATAATCGATTCAAAACAGTTGCGGGGCCTAATATCGTGAAATAGGCCCCGCAACTTACCCGTCTTGTAATCGATTACAAATCATCTTAGACTTCTAACTTCAGTCTTCAGCCAATATTTTCATGACGGACAGCAATAAAAGGGATATAAAAGTGAGATAAAAAGGAGGTTGAAAGGGACTTTTTTTTAAAATAAAAATTAGGAGGAGGGGGAGGCACGTAGCCACGGGGGGGGGGGGGCCCAAAAAAAGGAAAAATATTTAACTAAAAGATAAATTTAAAGAGAGGGTGGGGGGGGGGGCCCAAAAAAAAATACAATAAATAAACTGAAAATATTAAAAAAGGAAAAATATTTTTAAAAAGGTAAACAATTAAATAAGGAAAAATATTAAAAAAGTAAAAAAATTAAAATAGGGTCTAGACCCCTAGAAGATAAATTTAATCATTTAAATGTAACCTTTTTTAATAATTTGCTAGCTTTATTCATTAAACCTCAAAACACCCCCTTAATTATACTGCGGTGAAACAAGCCCCACTACCGTGCTGTCCGTCTTGAAAATGCATAGGATGGGGCCTTGTTCACGAGTATAAAGTATAGTCGTGATACAGGCCCCATGTCCGTGCTGTAGAACATGCAACGCCGTTGCGCGGGGCCTATATCACGAGTATATATAGCGAGTTGGATAGGAGACTCGCTATAGTATACTCGTGATACAGGCCCCGCGGCTGTGTTGAAGTGCGCGCGATGCCGTAGCGCGGGGCCTCGATAACGAGTATATAAGTATAGTCGTGATACAGGCCCCGCGGCTGTGTTGACAGTCAGTACGCCGCTGCACGAAAACCGCCCGTATTTATCGTACTCGTATGCAAGCCCAGCGGTCAATATGAATACGTAATGAGCACACGAGCTTGAAAACACCGACTTGTTTCCACCTACACAAAATGGTTTCTTGCTAATCATTTAGCATGAACGATATGTCAAATTGAAGACAAGAAACTGCTCTTTCATTAATCTGAATTAGAAATAAACTGGACTCCATTACCTTATGAAATATTTCCTGTCAAGTACAAGCTTACTTTTTCCGTATTTCCATCGAGTTTATGATGAAAGTGAATGCATAAAAAACATATAAAACGAGTAGGAACCTCATCAATCTTTATATTTTTGGAGAGTTTAGACATCATTCTTTGTATGGTGTGAAGATCAGGTTATTTGATGATTCGAACGGGTCAAGTTCACGGTTTTAAAAAATAGTTCCACATTAAGAAGAGACATGAATACGAAGATTTCCGATCACCTACCGAACGACCATTCGTCAAAGGTGAACGAACTTGTGACTTCGCGGTTTGTTTTCTAGGCACGAATAATGGCGTTATTTCAACATTTTAACCCTATTTCATGTAATTATCTTGGTATTTATCGATTACTAAGATTAACTATGGGCAGTGATACGATTGATTTTGGAAAATTTAGTGTTCGTTTCAAGAAATTTCAATTTGAAGAATAGTATGCGCCCACCCATACAAATTTGTGTAACGAAATTATACGACTTCACCGATGTCTGAATCAGCGAGTTCAGCTGTGTGGGTAGGCGATTTTGAGCAAAATGCAATTGTCATCGAATTTATCACCTAAAGAAAAAATAAATAAAAATCCCATTATTATTCACGGTTATTAGTGGTATGGTGAAGTTCACAGTTGTTAGTACAAAGTTGCAAAACATAATACTGCACTTTATACTATAGACTATACGCCAGGAATGTAGTCCAATATCTCTCTGCTTAATTGTTGTTTTTTTCTTCCCAAGAAATGATATGTGAACATGTCGGTGTCCAATGCAGTGATTGACCCTACACACAAATAAATAAGTTAAAAATACACGGGGGCAATTTTCCCTTCAAACCTTTGAAATTCGGAGGGCAAAAAACAAAGCAATATTCAAGCCATTCTGTTTACAAGGCGAACTGAAGTCACTCATGAATTTGGTCCTGCAAAGGATTGAGGTTGACATTCCCGTTAACAAAGTAACGCCTTCAATAAAGAAACACAGTCCTCTGATCAGTCATACAGTTCACGCATATACACAAACGGGATGTTTCTTTTGAACAATTGTTTTTATTTTTTTATTTCTCTTTGAATACAAGAGACAACTTGGCAAGGTTAAAAAAATACATATTTTGGCAGATATTATTATTCATAAGCTAGTCCAGCTGGGACACACACACAGTACTGGCTAGTTTAAGGCACTAAAGCACAGAAAATACAAAAATCCTAAGTTACAATGAATAATGTTATAACACGAATAACTTAAGTTGCTCATGTATGTACATGCTACATTCTGCCATAATATATATTAGAAGACTGTACAAGGAATACGGTAAGTGTGCAACATACAACATTATAACAAAAAAGAATATAATAT